GCAAATCAGGGAAAGATGAGTAATATAAAACTCTACAGAAATTCTTAGGAAAAACAAATAATACTTCTAATCTAACTTCATGATAATAACAATTATGGATTGGGAGGGTGGGATGGAGAACGAATGGCCAGCTAGCAGATAAAGGCTGACATCCAACAGTTCCTAAGTTTGCACGTAACACTAAGCCAAACCATAGCTTAGTGTCAGTGTGTGGGCTTCCAGAAAGGAGATTGTGGCCACTTTGCTCCTTCTCTGAACCTACTGGCAGAAGTGTAGTTTAGCTTAGCATACTGTCTGAACCCCCGTTTGTCTCAGTCCAGACAAACCATGAGCTGGAACCATGGTTTGTTTCTGGTTTACAGCTTGTGGTTGAACTGAGGAGATGGTACATGAGTCCAGGGTCCTATGGCAGTGGTTTCCAACCAGTGTGCCATGGCATCCTGGGGTACCTCAAATGATAGTCAGGGGTGCCATGGGCAACACTGGCCTCTGTCCCTTTTTCCTTCCCTCCATCCTCTGATGCCCTCTTGCATCTCTGCCTCCCAAAGGCTTGCACAGCTGTTCGTTGCAGCAGCCCTGGCTACAAGCTCCCCAGGCGAATGGTGCCTCTGGCGCTAGCCAGGGGGTACTTCCCAGGCCCTTGTGGGGCAGTGTGAAGAGGCACCTCTCTTTGGGGCAGGGGAGCAGCTCAGAGACCAGGGTGGCAGCTACAGCTGCCCAGGACTCCCAAGGAGAGGGAGAAGAGAGGAGGCTGAGGGAACACTCAAAGGATGGTGTTCGAAAAGGAATGAGAGGCTGCCAGCTCTGCAGGCAAGGGGTGACATAGCTGGGCTCCTGAGCCCCACAGGGATGCCACAGAAAGAATGTAGTTAGTCAAGGGAGCCATGGACCCCAAAAGGTTGAAAACCTCTGCCCCTAAGACAAAGCATGACATAGTTCACAGCACCAGAACTAGAACAAGGGTTGAAAAATCCTTCAAAACAGATTTGATGGGCTGCAGGGGGGGGGAGAGGAAGGAGAAGTCCAGTTGCACCAGCCTGCTCACATGACACTCAACACCCAAAATGTTCACTCACACATTTTTTAAGCCTCCCGTTCTGACATACCAGATTGCTATCAGGAAAACCCCATTGACTACTACAGTAACAAACAACAAGGGATTATTAATCACCCTGCACAATTAGGGTATAGTTAAAACTAGTGCAAACTGGAACCTTCCTAATCTACATCTATAGCTTTCACCTTTCACAGATCAAAGACACAGTTGGGGAGGGATCTTAGTCGTAAAGAACAAGTTTTGCATCTGAAAAGTCCCAAGTTCTGCCCTGGCATCTCCAGGTAGGATGAGGAAAGATTCTGCAGAGTTTCAAGATGAGAGTCACAGCCTGCAAGTGTATGTAGACCATAGTGAGAAATAGATAGCAAAATCTATTTCACTTGGTATACAACAGCTTCCAACGTTCCAGAGAAACATTCATTCCATTTTATTTTGGTTACTCTACTTCCAAGGTAGCCAGCATGCAGCCCCCTAAAAGCTGGACTCCAATCTCCCAACAGCCCTATCTAGTAAGGCTAATGGTCAATTATGGGAGATGTAGTCAACTACAGCTGTATGGCAACATGTTAGCTACTCCTGCGGCTACTTTATTCTGAGTGTATTTGAATTCAACAAACATTTATGTATTACATTGTTTTCCTGTGCCACATTGATACTTCCTTTTCTCAAAGGTAGAGAAACCTGTAGGAAGCTCTGGTGAGTTACCACAGAGAACATTGGAATCAGGTTCAAAGTGTGGGCAGGCAGGTGAATCTTTTCAAAAAAGTAAAACCAACTGTTGCTACTCAGGCAAATGTACAAAACAGGGATCAGGTTGGAATTTAAGCACTAACTCTTCTGTAGCAATGCCATCAGAATTCCCCGACTTTTGTTCTTGCTAGAACAAAAACAGCTGCAATTTAAAGTGCTCTGTTGCACACAAACACCTCAACACACATTACAGAAATATAAATCATGAAAAATGATGGTGAAATAATATTACTTTACTCCTAAAGGGAACATAGCCTGCAAGTTTCATTCTATGGAGTTCAAGGTAATTGAGACACCATCAAGGCACATTCCTAATTATAAATCAGACACTTGAAGTCTTACATTTTAAAAAAAAAGTTTCTACAGGATACACAATTCATTTGCATGAAGACCATTCTCATGCAGAAGTGGCAGGACTATCCCTGGAATCAACCACAGAGTATGTGTCTAAAAGCAACCACTATACATGAGTAGCTGTTTAGGCATACAAATTCCTCTACAGACACTGATGCTCAAAATGATGACACCAGAACTAATGTGGCCATGTGTTGTTGGCAGTTGTGTAATCTCACTCCTCCTCATTCAGTGCCTTCCATGGAAGTAAAATGTGAAGAAGAACTGCATAGTCACGTAGAGAGGTTAAATTTGGGTCACAGAGACTTGGGTTCAAACTGCACTCAGCCATGAAGATCCCTAGGTGATCTTGAGCCAATCACACTCTCTCAACCAAATCTACTTCACAGTGTTGTTGTGAGGATAAAGGTGTGAAAACTTCATGTATGCCTGAGATCTTGGGAGAAAGGGTGGGCTATAAATATAACACACACAAATGAATATTGAATTACATACATTTTTAAAAACACAAGTATAGAGATGTTATCCCCAGGTCCTAAATTGCCAAAAAGTTGACAAAGCAATCAACACCAAGGGAAAAAACTTCTGCCAGCAATGGAATAGCAAAGACAGAGGAGCCTTTAACATTACAGAATTGCTATCAACTCATTTTTGGTAGAGAAATGCTTTCAAGTTGGACAGTCTTTATATTATACTTGCCTATAATCTGATTTTAGATCTTTGCACTGCGACTTATAGATGTGCCTCAAAGACCTAGCCAAGGATCAGATGCACTTTTAAAATCTGCCGGTGCTCTTGGAGTAATACTGCCACCTGTGCACCAGCTGCACAAGTACTTATGAAAAAGAAATCCACCACAAATAAGCATCCCTCCTCCCCATTTCCTGATCAGTAGTTTGCTGCCTGGATAGGACATGTGCTCACTCTGCAGCTGATGCTAGCACAATCAGAGCTTTCCTTCACATAAAGCTGTACTAAAGCCAATTGGACAGGACAAGACCAGAATCTGAAGTCCTAGTCATTTTACAGTACAATTGGCTCCCTATATAATGTACTTTTGAGCTTCTGTTGATTCAAGCAGAAGTTGCCAAGAACAGACAGGAAGACAAACTTAAAAGACTTAAGCAAGAAAGAAAAACATGAGACAAATGTGAAATCAGGAAAATAAGGAAGAGCAGATCAATAAAGTATTAGAAGATAGTGTACATGTGTGTGCACACACAAACTATTCTAAAGGCAGAAATATGAATTAGCCTGCAATACAATGAAATCAAATAAAATACAATAAAAACCAAGCATGCTGTCAAAGTTTGGGCATAAACTAAACAAAATGCTGATGCAAGCTTCTAAACTGATAAAAAAGAAACTATTGTCTAACTGAGAGAGAAAAGAGGTGAATTTCTAAAAATCCAATGTCACTTTAAACTTTTAAAATCCGGGGCAGGGAGGAACAGGCAGCTGCATATTAAATTTAATAAGTCCACACAACAGAAACAATTCAGAAAAGCACAGAGTAACTAGAAAATTAAATCATCAATACACTATATCTATTTCTCATGTTGCTTCATTCATTTTCTAAAAGCTGGGCCTGATAATACACTTTGATCAAAAAAGAAAGTATTGGCTGTATTCAGTTGAGATCAATTACTAGGAATTCAACTCAAATTCTATTAGCAAGTAGTCGAACCCAATGCAAAAATCATATCCTAGTAAGCAACATCAGGTCCTTTTTGCAGGACATGGAATTTTGGTTAATCAGCCACATATTGTGCAATAAGCAGGGCAGATTCACACTACATGGAAAGGAAATTCCAAGCCTTCTACAGCTAGTATGTAGGGGGATCAAAAGCATACAAGAACAATGCAATGCATTTTCATTCCCCCGTTTTCCAGAATTCCAATGCCCAATTTATTCACGGTACTAGGAAACACACAAGCTGCAGTCTTCCTCATCTGTACAAAAAGCTAGCATAATGCAGCTATCTGAGTGTCAAGTTCATGCGTGAGAAGCGCCCATTCAAATACCCACTTGCTATGAAGCATTTCTCTATGGTTTTTGGCAAGCCCCCACAGCCCTGTTGAGTTGATATATTCTCCCCAATTATTTTATCCAGGGAAAAATTGGGAGTGGACCTTGAATTTCTGCACCCATTTCTTTCTCCCTTCACCATGGGAGAATGTCAGATTTTATGATTTAGGAAATTAACTTCTCTCCACAGTGAGACAAAGGGGGATAACCCAAAACCCATTCTTCTGCAGATAGAAGAGTGGGGGGAGAACCGAATAAGAAACATCTCAGAAATAGAAACAGGCCTTCTTGAGAGTCTGCTCCCAGCATAGATGTGAGGCTAACTTACCACTCTGAGCTTCTTAGAAGAAGGAAAGGATACAATATCAAACGTTCTAAACTGTGAGGGTGCTGTCAAATGTAAAAATTTGCTGCTAACACTCAAATTACAAAAGAGGTACTCATACCTTAATGATGAAAAACCTGACATTCATTAGTTCCCTCTGAAAAATTATAATGCTACAAACAGTTCAATAAATAAACAATTATACTCTGGGTTCAGAGCAATATTTAACTCCCATGCAGACATTTCTGATTGTTTAAGCCCTCTTCAGGACTTTGCCTGAATATGCTTAGACCTTTCCTAAAGACATTCCTGCTCAGTCCTGGAAGGTCTGAAGCGGAGGTGGACACAGGGAGGATTGCATGCACATCCCCTCCCCACTTTAAGCCTGAAGATATCTCTCCCAAGTCCCTGAGGGCAAAAAAAATTTTTTAAAAATGATCGGAATAATATAATCAAAATCAATAATGTTCTATGTTGTACTGTACCTTTTGATAAACTACGGAGCACACTAGGTCTTTGACAACAGAAAGGGAGAGATCTTGAGCCTCAATTGTAACAGTCTCGCGAGTGAGACCAATCTGCAGCAGGAAGGAGATGCCATGCACAGAGCCCCTGGAGTTGGTGAGACTTTGTGTGCTGAAGCTGCCATTGGACAGTCGGCCTGAGAGTCCAGATTGTGGACTTGAAGATAAAGAAGGGGTAGGTGGAGCAGCAACATGGGACGCAGATGGGGAAAACTTCTGTAAGGATGGAGGAGAAGATTCGTTTGATGACATCTGACTTGATTTAAATCTGTCAAGACCTGTCTAATAGTCAAGAAAATTCTTTTCTTTCTTTACCCTGCAATGTTGCAAGTGTAATTTCACACTTCTCTTTCAAGGTTCAAGGAAACATCCTCATATCTCAGTCATCTTCATTTTTATTTTCAGTCTGTGCATGATGATGTTTAAGATTATTTTGGCAAGAAGCTATTTTAATGAAGGTCCTCTTTGCACAGCTTCACGTCAGCTGATCAAAAATGCTTTGCCTTTAGCACCACATCCAGATGTTGGGAGAGGCTTACATCATTATGAAATTGTTCTCTTCAGAAACAGAAATAGACATTGTTTTTTCACACAGCCTCTTCATTTCACTACTTCTAGGACAACCTTAGACTTTGCTTCAGTGGGAGGAGAAAAACCTGCTAAACAGCACACTTCGAAGTATTGCACTCAAGGACTCAACTTACAAATTTATGTCAATACTCTTGATAGTTTTAAAAAATGTGGATAATGTCCTGGATCAAAAGTACTGTCTTCAATGAATTTATTCAACTTTCAGATGTTATTGTTTCATTTAATAGAGATGAAAAAATAAGGTTCCACTCAATGGTCTCTGAGTCGTCATTTTTGGAAGATGTTCATCTTACGAAATGAAGGAACAAAATTTCTACGAATACAAGTACAAGGAACAGAATTGTTGGGTTCACAGTGGTAGTCTGCAGCATTTTGAAGCGTCAAGTACTGCCTAGTAGAAGGGAGAAAAAGATACATTTCACACATGCTAGAAATGTTACATAACACCACAATCAATCTACTTAAAGCAGAAATGATACTGGGAGGCCAAATGCATATGCTACAACCTATTTCTGCTTTAATTTCCTTAAGTCATAGATACTTCACTTTATTCTTCTATCTTTTAGGGAGCTGCCATGTATATTATATCAAGAACAAGATGTTGCAGCTCCTCGACATAACTGCTACATCTAATCTAGCATGGCTCATAGCAGCAGCAGAAAAATAATATTCAACACACTGATTGCAAAGCTGTTCGATAAAAATAATGCTGCTGTGAAGGGACACTGAAAACAGTTATATTCAAAAAGTATTAACATCAGGGAGTGGGAGGTCCACAGTGAAGTTGTTTGGAATACAGATATATGGAGTAGTTAAATATATGTAGAAAAGTTCACTGAAATTATAAGTGTCTCTGAAACACAGTGCTAAATCCAGGACTGAAAAGGAGTACCTTGTGCTTTCAGTCTAGTGCATGTGCAGTAAAGAGAAAGGAATAGTGCAGGAAAAGGTGGAATGTAGTCCCTCCCCTCCACATGCATTTCACCCATTTGCAGTTCAGATGTTAAGAGAATCAAGAAGGATTGAAAGTGCATGCCGTGCTTTAGCTGCACTAGCATTGGAAGTCACACACAACATACCTATACTTCCTCTCCTTGTTCAGCTCCTTGCAGCTAACCATTGATAAAGTTCCCACAATGACTACTACTGAATGGTCCAAAGGATTTGTTAAGCACCACTGCTTTACCCTACCATAGCTCAATGTTCCTGCCCACTCAAGAAAAGTATGGTGGGTCTCTTCTAAAACAATATGCAATTTCATGTTCTTTTTAACTTTTAATTTTCAAAGTTAATTGGCAATATTTTTGTTTCAACCTTTTTGAAGAAGTGCTAATATAATTTCTAACTAACACATCAGAGGTATTTTCATTAGTAGCCATTTTGTCTAAGACACAAAGGAAAACCAGGCACATATTACTTTACAAGGTATCTGGCATAGCAGTATGCTAACGCTAGAAGAACAAGACTGCAGATATATCAAATCCTAAATGCTGATTCAATTGGTACTATCTATATACAATGTTAGAACAAGCTTCTCTTTAGTGGATTAAGTGACAAAGCTACGTAGTGTTAGCAGAAAAGATTGTAAATTATTAAATGTTTCACAAACTGATTATGAATTATTACATTTCAAGGCCTCTAAAAAATGGCACATCCCTTTACAAAATATAACTACAAAAGTAGCTGCCAGAGAAGCATATTTGTGCAACTGCCAGTGAAAACTCCAGCAAATCCAGAGGTGAAAATCTGAAATATCAGTGTTTTGTAAGTAACAAACTACTACTTGGTGTCACACTGTTCTAGAAAATATGACAAACTCTACACAGTGAGTCTGGCCAACAGGAGAAAGGCATGATTTTAGCAGTGGTAATCTGAACTGAATAAAATGTAAGGAGCCAGCTGGAGGGGTGGAGGCTGCAGTAACTGAGGTGAGAATGGAGGAAGATATAGAGAGCCTTTTAGTGGTAAATGCAAAGAAGTGCCTGATGAATCTTACTGCAAATTCAGTTATGAGAGCACTGTTAGGATTATTGAAGTCAGTGTCATTTCTCATTGGCATGGCAATATCAAGTTAATAAATGGATGAACAAAAGAAAGGAGGAATGCACTGTGTCATTTAAATTAACAATTTCAGAATGCTTCTTCACTTACTACAAATTGCTTCAGTTTAAGTACCATGGTTATTATTGCAGCAGTTTTAACTTTGGGAAAGAAACTCAAAGTGTAAGGACCAAATAAAAAATAGTTAAGCAAGAAAGGTAAGTGGTCAAATAACGAGAAATTGCTAGAAATGGGGTCAAGAAAGAGTTTGCCTACATCATTCCAAGATTTACTCTTACACCTATAGGGATTTTCAGTGCAGCTCTAAACCTTGTACAAACTAATTTGGACTATGAGATGAAGAATCACAATGATCAGACTATACATTCAATTTAGAAATGGCTCTCTTCCACTTTCTAAATTGCAGTAGCAACCAAAACTGACTCATTCACGACTAAAGGCATGATTAAGTTAGGGAACATCATTTTGTAACCATTCCTAATAACTTCTTCAGAAAAAAATCAGCGAAATTTCAAAGAATCAGTTGCAAAGTCAGAAGCTAGCAAATCCTTATGTAATCACTCTAGTTCAGATCTTGATCTATTTGCCCTGCTATTTGCCTTTGCCTAAACTACCGTACTTTCAAAAGCCACAAGTAGGCTTCCATATTTTCTTTCTTCACACTCATCTGCTGGCAAACATGACATGCCCAGCATTCTTTCAAACCTTGGTGCAGCAGAAGTCGTCTTCATAGTTGCAGCTCTGTAGCTGGGAGGAAAGATGGCTGTTGTTTGATTGCTATGCCTCAGTCACAAGGCAGACAAAGTGGCATGGGAGGCAGAGAGTGTCCTTAGCCACTATGAGGCCAAGGCACCTAGAGCAATAAAGAGTGGCAAGGAGCCACACAAGACCAAACCACCAAAGGCAGAGGAAGGGTGCCGACAACCACTTTTTGCCCTGATTATTCTGGAAGCTTTTCCTAATGTTCCTAAAGCTGAAACACATAGCAATCAAAATGCAGCACTATGCCAGCTGCAGGGAAATAAGTTTTACAGTAAAGAGGTGCAGACCGAAATTACGCAAATTTATTTGAAAGAAAGTTGGAATTCAACAATTCTCACTTTCTAGAAAGCATGCACTGTATGCTTTAGTTTTGGGAAGGTACTTGGCACACTGACAGGCTACTGTACTCTATACTGCTGAACACATTGTGGACATAATTGCAACAGATGCAACCTATCCAAAAGGGAACCCCCTTTGTTAATAAAATCCGGTGTGTAAATGTCGGGCTTAAAGTTAAAAGATCAGAAAGAAAGGTTTCAGCAACACTGCAGACACCAGCTGAAAAACACAGCATTCGAGTGCACTGCGGTCCTTTTTGCAGTTTAGACACCCTGATAGCCTCTGGTAAAGCCAAACTATCAGCAATTGCCATAGGGAACAACATAATCCCCATGTGGTTTGTGGGTGTCAGGCACAATTTGAACTGACTCACTTCTTTCTCTATTTACACCTCCATTGCTCCCCAAAGCTACATTTCCTGCTTCCTTATTATGAGATTACCATCAATTCCCAAAAGCCCTTCACTAAGTGAAAAACTCTTAATCACACTCTTCACACTAAATATTATGCTTTGCAAGCCAGTTACAGCAGTGCCCCTGCGCTTGAGGACAGTTCCCCCCATTGAAATTAGCAATTTACAACTTTTTTTACTCTTTTTTTAAAAAGCACTGAAGTGTTACATGGGTCACATTAAAGCCACAAGGGCATCTTCACTTAATTCCCTCGCAATCCAACAGGTTGCCAGGCTGAGAACTTGCTGCGGGGAGTGGGGGAGATTGGTCATTCCCCCGCCAGATCCCTCTCCCCAGCGTTTTGAACCCTCCTTTGCAGCACTTCAGGCGAAAGCTGGTGGTCAGATGTAGGCTCGAAAAGTCGTGGGGGCGTCAGCAGCAGAGGAGGCGAGGATGAGGACGGGAGCGCGTGGCTCTCTTCCATCCCGGGGCACCGACTGCTCTGGGCGAGAAGGAATTTGCTTCAGAAAGGAGGCGAATCCAGCCCCCCCCCGGAAGATGGGGCAGCCTCCGTCGGGAAGCATCCCTCACAGCTGGGGGGGGCAGGGATGATGTGGCCTTCAGGGAGTCACCGGCCCCTCCACATCTGGGCAGACCCGGCCTCCTCTTGACCCCCCCCCCCACCTCCGTTGACCACAGCTGGATGGTCAAGGCGGGAGGAGGGAGTCACTTGGGACTCAGCCCGAGCCTGGCGCCCCCGCTGCCCTCGCTTCGCCTCCCCGCACCCCACCCACCCGACGTGTTGCCGCCCCCGACGCGACCGGAGGAACTTTCCACGTTGCCCCCTCTGCCCATTCCTGCTCCTCCCGCCCTCGGACTCCCTCTCTTTTTTCCCCTCATCCCTCCAACTCCCGACCACTCACTCGCGTCTCGGCGAAACTCCGTCTTCTCCCGGGACTGGGCGGTTTCACACGCATCTCATTACCGCCGCTCCCACTTCGAGCGACACACCATCTACTGTACACACACACACACACTGAGAAGCCTCAGCCGCCCGAGATGGGACAGGAGGAGTGGGGTGGAGGTGGGAGGGGGTGACCGAGAGGCATGCTGGGAAGGGGAGTTTTTCCTCCCCCTCCTCCCTCCTGAGGTGAACGGCGCAGGGAACTACAACGACCGCGGGGCCACTGCGAGAGCGAGGCGAAGAGGCTGGGACGGCGCAGGCGCCGGGCCGCCGGACAGAGTTTCCGTTACTTCTAGTGCCTGTGGCGGTTGGTGTTCTGAACCGCTATAGCGCGAGGGAGCGTGAGGGGAGCGGGGAGTAGAGGGAGTCGCTGGAAGAGGCGGAGGAGAAAAGTAATGAGCGGCAGAGGGAAACGGGCGGGATAAGGGGGCTGGAGGTGCACCAATTTAAAAAAAGAAGGAGGTGGGTGAAATGTGGACCAGACGTGCGAGGGGGAACCGCAAAGTTTTGATTTTGTTCAGGACTTTGGTGTGAGGCAGGCGCCCCGCCAAGGCTCCGTCACGTTATTGCTGCTCGGGAGAAGCTCCTCTGGTGAAGGAAGCCAGAAAGCGGCGCTCGGCTCGTTCCCGTCCCGAATTCCAAGCGCATTTGATCATCCCCTTCTCTTCCGAGCCTCTACCGAAGTGCCTTCGCTTCCCCTGGACTGCCGCGTTGAGGGCAAGCTAAATCCGTGATCATTCGAGATCCTTAAAAAAAAAAGTGTCCCCCCCCACACACGAAAACAACCCAGAGGTTTGATGCTTACAGCTCGTCACATTTATGTCGTTTATTTTTATATATTATTATTATTATTTTGGTTCCTTTTTAAATAAAAAAATATATTTGGTTTTTCAAATTAAAATTTTACAGAGCTATATCAAACATAAATAATAAAAACAAGATTCTAAGGAATCCCCTAGACTTCCATCCTCCCCTTTGCGGGTCCTATTATTCATTCTTTCCTCCTGCATCTTTTATGATAATCCAAATCCTTTACCTCTTCCATTATGTCCAGAATTCAACCTTAAACTACAAGTGATATTTCAATCCTGCTAACGATTTTACATTTATGTCATTTATTAATGCTTGGGTCATAGACCTTTCACATATAAGATAACCTAGCAGTATAAAATACTGCAATAAAAATCACATTGCTGCCTACGTAAAACCTACCATCTTTACAATACTACATTGATCACATGTAACCTATATAGAACTTAGCATATTAAATGGGTAAAATTTAATATAGATTTAAAAATATATATTAAAAGATATTATGGTTAAATAAGAGCACCCCCAAAGCAGTCAGCTGCAATCTCCTTAATAATAACCCTTGCCCAGATTTTCATTGGTTGCTAGGGCAAAGAGAGACCGACCTTGTGGGTTATCCTGCAATCAGTGTCCCACAAGGTCTCTCTCTTTGCCCTGGCAGCAATGAAAATACATTGATGCAGTTCACTTCACAGCCACAATAGGAAAGGCTTTCCAATAAGCCAGCTCTTGTTGCACTCCAGGGTGACGGAACTGTGCCGGGGCCAGCCCTGCTATTAGGCAGAATGAGGTGGCCGCCTCAGGCGAGGGAGGAAGGGAGTGCATGAGAGGGCTCAAGGCTTACCGCTATCTTGTTGTTTTACACTAAGATAAGATGGCCCAGACATGTCCATTACAACACTTCCATGCACCCGCCCATAGAAGGAATTGTTGGATGATGAGAAAAGGCTCAGTGTTAGTCATGGGATCCATTTCTGTGCGCATTTTTACTTTTGTACACTGACTTCTGTTCTTTCACCTGATGAAAAGCAAGGGTGGCAAGATTTAATTGGCAGGTTAATCATCCCACAGTGTTAGCCGTGGACCTAAAGAGCTGCTTGGGCTCACACCAGGAGCCTGCACTAGCCCAGTGTATTTTTTTATTTGAACAGCCGACCCCATGCCATCACACAATTTCGAACAGCCTTTGAATCACTTTTCAGCTTCAAAAGCAATTTGTCATGTGGCGGAGGGCTGTTTAAGAAAGGCAAGTCTAAAGCAACCTTGGAATCATGGAACTAGCTTGGTGGTTTTCTGGATCATGGCCATAGCTGCAGGCCACATTTAATTGGTGAGAGAAATCTTTAGCCAACAAGGTTGCAAGCCTTTCTTTTTTAGGCTTTTTATTCTCTTAACGTAACAGTAATTAGGAATGAGCAATATTAAAGATGTGGGTTTTTTTACCCCATCTAACAATGACTGGAGGCTTTGTTTAATACATTGTAGGGTATCTTAACTTTTCCTTCGCTATCCCATATAGATTCTGATGTTTTGATAATATGCCCATTTATTTACATCTAATCCATTAAAAAACAAATTGCGAACCAACTCCCAATTATTAACAGTTGAAATACCTTACAGAAAATGAAAGTAGGCAAATATAACTTTGTTCATCCTCATGCCTATGGCTGTATTTGCTCTCCTAGAAGTCTAAATTCAATGGCAAAAATCATATTTGCTAAATATAACTGGGTTTTTCTTGTGGGTGCATTCTGCAACATGTCATTGGCTCAATAATATTGCATTAGTGGTGGATTTATACTGACCTACCCACACATTGTTCAGCTTTACTAGTTGTTCTGTGGGGCTTCCCCAGTGTTACTGGATTATTGCCATCTGGAGGGGCACTCTTGCACTATAGTGCAATGAAAGTAGACCAAAAAAAACTGGAACATTTGTGTATGCAAGGTTACAAGATTTCAGCAGGAAGATACAGGACATGCACCAATTGGAAATGAAGCAGTATGTGTTGCCCTAAAATGTTTGCAGGAACAAACAAAATTGAGAGCAGTGTTTTGTTTAGCCATCCCAGTACCATCATGAACACAAAGCATAGTGAATGCACAATTTTAAAAAAGCCTTCCAGAGGACCTCCCCAAAATATCAGCATTATACCATTTTTCTCACAAATATGTCACACATAGGTAAGCAAAGAAGAAGAATGGAGAAAGTTATGACTTTTTTATATTCCAAGGAACTTGGAGGGGAGAATACTTTATTCCATTACATTCCACAGTCAGAGATCGTTTACAAAGCTATGTTGCAACTATACAACCAGATAATTTGCCTAGAATTTATCACTGTTGAAATCCCAATGTATTTTAAATAACATTTGTAGAGGCATGTTGCTTTGTACATTTAAAAGTGAATGCCTTCTGGGCTCATTTTAATGATGTATGTTCAATGAACAGATGTTATTGTTACTGCTAAAGTGCTATGCTAAATAGTTCAGAGCAATCTTTGTTTCTTTTTTCACCCTGAGTGTGGCTCCCACACACCAGCATTTGGAACATCATCAGGGTCGGTTGTATAAACAGATTTAAAGGCAAAAGCTGGATTCAGTATTTTAAGCAAGCTCTCTTGTATACAGAGCATATTTTCCAGCAACTCCCAAATGTATATCAGTTTATGAATAATAACAGATGGATATTGGGTATTACTGCAACCATTTTGGGGCTGCAATTAAGCTTCTTTGTAAAGCTTAGCTGTGTAACATCCACTAGATTCAATGCTTCTTTAATTTGTTGCTCTAAACTATGCTAGCTGCTTTTTCATAGCTGCTTTAGAACTGAGAGTGGATTAGGTAAAATCATTATTAATAGTCTGTAAAATAACACATCCATTTGGGGTGTTTGGCTATTTTCTGATTCTGTGTTACTAAACCAGAGGGGACATTTTGTTTTTACTATTAAATCTCATTGTAGCTTTTGATCACCTTTATATGTAACTGTAAATGCAGAGCTCATGTATGTGCTTATACTGTACAATGTAACTGAAATCATGCTACTTATTAGGATACTGATGATTCAAATTCTTTGGTGGGGTAGCAAGAAAGTTATCTTTGGGTAAGCTCACTCTCTCTCCATACCCTCTTGCACACATAATCTTCAATCAGATCACTCACTCTTGCTGCTGTCTCTGGCGGACAATCAGCCACAAGCCAGCAGACACATGCATCCAATCAGCAATCACTGTCTTTTTCCAGGCCCCACCCCATCCCCACGAGGTTGGAAAACACATTTTTAACAAGGAATTCCTTTTCATCCATTGAAATAGTGTCCAGGACTGACTACATAAGATGTTGGGACACAACACTCCTCCATTTAGCATTCTTTCCCCCGAGTGGTAATGAGTAGTGAATCTGGAGTCCTATAGACTACATGTTAGGATTAAGTCCAGGTGGATGTGAGCAAACACCCCCAGACAATCCAGTTGCATTGTTTTGTATTTTATCTCTCTGCAATTTTGTGACACACAAGGATGAATGAGATCAGGAGAGCAGCAGGAGTACAGTCAAAGGCCATAACAAATTATAATAGTAAATGTAATATAATTATGTACACAGAGCACATACAGGTGAAAAGATTGCAAGCCTTGCCTGTTAAAAGTATGATTTAGCGCCTTGTTGCAAACAATAGAAAGTCCAATATCCTAAAGACTCAGGAATCAAATAAACATAACTCCAAATTGTCACAAGATTTTATGGGGGGAACTACTAATGGTTTGATCACTGGAACTACAAATACTAGGGCATTTTTGCTTCCAGAGCTGGCAAAGTCTGAGTGGTTAGTGAGGGCTTCCCATTCTTTCCAACTTCCCTAGAATTATTTCTTGTCAAGCACACTTGGTGCTAAACCTGACCACTATGTGGTAGTATTAACATTAACACTGGGAACAAATATTTCCATCCATATTTGAAAATGTACAGTTGCTCAACTCTGTAATAACATTATGAAGTGACTTGTCAAGTACTTCAAACATACTTGGTAGCAGTGTTATATTTTCACAGAGTTATGGTTAACCTATTTGTTTGACATAAACCTCAATGATGTGAAATCACAATGGTTATTTCACAATAATACTTGCTCATTTACCTACCATTCCCTTTTGTGGCTGCATATTTTTTTATTTAAAAAACCATAAAGCAACCTTAATCCCTCCCCACAAGTTCTAATACAATTATTTGGTCAATTATTTTTCTACTAAAACATCACTCACTTACTAAAGGACTTGGTAATAACTAAGTATATTGTTGTGAGTGGTTTGTCATCAAATAATATTCTGCCACACCCCTCCATCAAACTATACCACCCTTTTCGTTGTGGAAAAAAGTGCCAATGTCACTTTCCTGGTTAAGGAGGTTCTAGTACTGTTAGTACAACAGCTAGATTCCTTCCTGTATTCAAACATGGATGTATGTGTATGTATCATACCATACTGGAAAAATACTTCAGTAATGGCCATTATTTGCTAAATGTCTAAGATTCCAAATGTCTACCCTGGTTTCTTTCAAATCTACAGTTGTACCTTGGAAGTCGAACAGAATCCATTCCAGAAGTCCGTTCGACTTCCAAAACTTTCGAAAACCAAAGCACTGCTTCTGATTGGTTGCTGGAAGCTCCTGCAGCCAGTAAGCTGTGGAAGCCCTGTCAGATGTTCCACTTCCAAAAGAACGTTCGAAAACCAGAACACTCACTTCTGGGTTTCGATTGTTCGGGAGCCAAAATGTTCGAGAACTAGGCTGTTTGAAAACCATGGTACGACGGCATTTCCTTCCCCTTAAAAACCCTACAGAGGTTATCCTTTTCTGCTATCCTTATTGCAACTCTACTGTGGCATGTGCTAGCCAGAAGAGATCCATGATACTATAATGTAATGTACAATAAACCTGAGATAACACTTTAGAAAAGCAAGCATGGCCATCTCTGCAACTTGCTCTGAAA